CAGACAGAGAGAGGGATCAAAGGAGGAGAGAGGAAGATACCCTTGTAGGCCACGTCCACAGTGACCCACGCCCTCCCAACATCATATTTAGCTATATGGTGGATAAATCCACTAATGAGTACCACACTCTCATGAGACAATTACCCCAAAACCCCACCTATGAGTTCATGAGGCTTTGAGGGGACATCTAGATATAAACAGCAACACATGCCATGTTGGAAATATTGATTTCAAGTGATACATTCTTAGTCACTTCAGAAAGAAGTCACACTACCTGTCAAGTAGGATAGAAAAAAACAAGTAGCCATAAGAGACAATGAGTTCAGATATAGGATAAGCTCAGGATAAGAGCAAATGAAGGAGGCTTAGATGATACAAGGCTGCCAAATAGAATGGCAGAACTAAAGTGTATGCTGTTGAGGAATTTAGTTCAAAATTGAGAATGCAACAAAATGCATCAGTGATATAATGCTGAGAACTGGTTTGACTCTAGATAGTCAACTGAATAAAGTGAGATTTTAATCATAGAGGAAAGAGAATAATGGACTGTTTGTTCTCAAGGAAGATTAGTGGATGATTAGAATAGAATCAGTAATGAGAAATATAAGAGAAAAATTTACTACATGTAAGGACTCTAGTAAAGAAATCGAAAAGAGCTTTTCACTTAATACATGTGTGATACTATTGTAGGACCTCTACTTACAGCAATAAATCATACCCGAAAGGTCTCATCAATGGCAGATATTTGCTCTCATAGAGGTGGAAGTAGAATTATCAATAACCAGGTTAATAACAAATGATCAAAAACTATTGTCAGCTATCCTCCCCAAAACATACTCTCGTGCTTTGAACGTGCATCCCTTCATTCTTGTCACTTTCTGGGGCCATTCTAGAAGTCCTCTTTAGTGAGTGTCATTAGAAAGTGTGATAAAAAATATGGTGAATGCTGCTGCCAAGTGCCAGCCAATGGAAAGGTAGGTTTGTAAAAACATTACAGTGGGTCCTCATCCACATTATTTATAAGATCTGGCACCGTGTGACTTCTGGCTCTTCCACAAGTTCAAAATGACAATGAAAGGTAAATATGTTAGATCAGTTCAGATCATTGAGGCAGCCGGGAAAGTGCAACTAAAGACACTCATGAAAAAGGACTTCCAGAAGTGCTCCAGAAAGTGGCAAAGGGATGGGGTGTGTTTAATGTGATTGGAGGGTGTTTTGAGGGATGTTAATGACAATGTGTCTCTTACTGTAATAATTTTTTAAAAATTTAAACATATCATATTTTCTGATCATACCTTGTATGTGATTTTAGATATTGATCACTGTGGATTATGCTTAGGTCAGTGCTTTAAAACCTTTCTAGACTGGGGCAAGCTTGAGGGTTTTGAAGTGCATTTCTACATACATATGCAACTATATTTATATATAAAATATATACATTGATTGGTAAAAATTAGATTTTTCTTTTGATAACCAACAAAATACAATACCAAAAGTCTAAAATAACATAAATGTTGATTTGACATAACACTTCAAAACTTAAAATATAACCAAAATACATTTAATAGGTTGATCTTAGTTTTCATTTTTTACTTGCATGTATGTACAATTCTAAGCAATACTTTTCAAGAGCAATTTCCTCAAATACTTTAACATTACAAGTGCCATTAAACTTGGTCACACAAATAAATAATAATAAATTTAAATTTTAAAGAATAATCAAGCAACATGTTGCACAGTTAAAATTATATTTAATAAAGCTAACAGCCTCCCCTGGTATTTTCCTGACAAGTGCATTCTTGAAGTAGATTGTGATAGGGAAAATTAGTTTATATATAATTAAAGTTTTAATATCAGTGCTTAAAAATAATGATGAAGCTCTGTTTTGTTATTTGGGCCTATGTTAGAACAATCATTCTGCTGCTGGCTGCTGGCTTGAAAGTCACATCAACAGCAAAGGCAAGGAAGTATAAGAACCTATAACAGAGACGTGGGCCGGTGCACTAGCATGGTAAACTCACTTCCCTAACTTTCAGCCTCAGTTTGAGCTGCAGGCTTATTCCTTGGCCACTACCTGCGTGTACTTCTTGGCAGCTCCATAGACTTCTGTCTGTGACAGGCAACAGCAGATCTCTCTTCACATGCTTTTTGAATCAGATGTCAAAGTGATAGAGCATTGTTTTTAAACCATTCCCTATGTCCTGAAGTGAAGAAAAGAAAGTCAAATCCTGCTGTTGCTTTCACTGGATCTGTGAAGCATGTTGTCAAATGCCACTCTTCTGGTTGTTCCCTGGGGAATCCTTCCCCTCCCCAAAATGCTGCTTAAGGCTGAAGGTGGTCAGTCAGGAGCTTACAGCAGCCTCACACCCCGTGGAAGACTCATGAGAGTCAAATCCTAGGACCTGAGAGTGCTCACGGGTGGGGACACTGCTCTAAAATATAGAAGTCAGTAGATGATTATTTCCTAGGAATGGCATGGGTAGAAATGCCTATTTGGGTTTTGTTAATAATTCCCTAATGGTATAAAAATTTGCTTTCTGTATTTTGACACCATAGTTTTGAGCTCATAAATGTCCTACTTTTACATTGATTATAACTTTTATCAACTTAGGAAAAAATTCCAAATCTCATTATAATTATTATTTTATTTTGTCTGGTCATAAATACCATAAGCCTAATCTTTTTATGCTTAACATTTGCCTACCACTACTATTTATTCATTTATATTTTATATTTAATATTACTTTGTCATTTTGACTTCTATATTAGGAGCCCTGTGTCTAAGTAGTTTTATGTTTATCCTGGATATTTGCCTTTTAGAAAGGAATTTTTCCTACTACTTTTATTATTGTCTTAACTAATTTACTTGCTGTTTCTTCTATTATATCGTTTATATGCTTCTCTATTTTGACCTTTCTTGATATTTATCTTATTTTATTAAATCTTTATTTTGTGTGCTACTCCTGTTAGTCACATATCTTTTACTGGGACATCTATAATTTTATGGCTTTTTTGGCCTTCTATGTCAATCATCAATTCTCTTCACTCTCAGTGTTTGAAACTCTCGTTAAACTTGGTACTTCATGGGACCAAATCATTTATGCATCGTCAGTTCTATTGATTAGTGCTTTTAGTTCATATATTAATTTTGGTTTTGCATTAGAAGGTTTCTTCCTTTTTTTCCATTTTAAGGTTGCTTCCTTTTATCTCAGTCTTCATCTTAGTAATTTTTTCTGCAAATTCCTGCTCCTCTTTCATAGTTGCCATAGTTACTTCTTTAATGACATTAATAAATGGCACCTATAATTTTTTTCTCTCCCTTTTAAAGTTCTTTTTTCAAAGATTTGTTCTTTGAAACTTTGGAATTACATTTATGTTTGCTTATAATTCAGTACCATTTCTCTAGGGGTTTGTCTGTTTACCTATTCTTGCCTGTGATCTACCCAAAGGAATCCAGGATTTGCCTACTCACATGAAACCAGATTGTCTTTAGTCCTAACTAGAGCCCACTTCTACTCATTTTATTAGATCTGGAAAACAAATCTTCCTCTCTGAAAATATTTGAAAACATAATAGAAAGGTATTGATCAGGGCCAATTTGTCAACAGAACTAACTGGTTGAGGTTAAAAGAATGAATTAGGTAATCATCCAATAACTCATCCATCCCCTACATGTCTTAACCTTTCCTCCTTCCTATCATTTACCAGTTGACTTACACCTCTCCTGTCACCAACCTGGTGAGTTCCAAGTCTTCACAGCAGCATGTGTCTCTACCCAGCAGCTCTGTGCAAAGCGCTGTTTGTTTCAACCTGATGACATCATTTCCTGGAGAACGGAGACAAAAATTTTTTGTCTAACACTTCCAAAATGAGCAAGAACTTTTTGCATCATTCTTTACTTTGGAATTAGCACTGCTAAAATAGCTGTGATAGAAACAAAAATTTAAACCAAACAAACGACAAAGTTAAATATCAGCTTTCTACTTTTTAGAACTCAGGAAAAAATATTCACCAAACACAACTTGTCGTGTGATTTAGGAACTGAAATATTGTGAGGTGAATTTCAGGTAAGCATTTTACTGAAACAAGGTCAAATTGGCAGCTTCCATGGATCCATATACTCAATGGGTTGACAGCATTTATCATAATGCACTTTGCTTTGATTGGCCTTCATGCTAGTGAAAATCAGAAATGTGCAAAAATTGCAAAAACAGACTTTGCATTTCAAAGCTCTTACAGTTTCCTTGGAAAGAGATTTCCTTCCCAGTTTAATCTGTGCTCTCTGCCTTGTGGGGTTCTCAACTTGCAATCTGCAAATCCTACATGAGAGTAGGTGTTTCTGGAAAAGGTGAAGTGAGAGAAGCGCGGATACGTGTGGGAAAGAATAGGTTTAAATTTCAGAGCAGCAAAATGACTGTCTCCACCCACTGCAGAGAGAAGGGAGTGGCTTAGTGACAAACATCTCAGGTGTGGGAACTGAGCAGAAATGCCTTTGATTCCAAGGTGCGAAAAGAACAAAAGCCTTCTTTGCTTATCATTCAGCTGCTTATACTCCTCCACCCTCTCTCCCTTCCTGCCGCCCTCTCTGGTTCTGTAAGCACAGTCCTTTGGAAAGTAAATCTTGCTGTTCCAGCATTTAACATCATGTCATTGCTCAGCAGTGATCGGCCTCAGAAAAATATCTCATCAGCAATTTAGATATTAATCATAGGTTTTGATCTTTACATTGATGCCCAAACTCTGTGCGAATCTTGACTTCGAGATAAATGAAAATGCACACAAGGAGCTTCAGTTGTAGTTCAAAGGCTCACTGCTTATTTGATCTCTGAAGATGAGCCCATAGAAGAAAGGTGGGAGTCTTTGGGGGCTGCTTTCCCTTTGGAACTTCTGGATAAAGGCAGGTTGAGAAAAACATGGAAGGTGAGGCCTCATTATGCAACTTCTGTGAGTTTCAGGAAAATGTGATGCTTTGCACTTGATCGGAATCTTTTTCTTTCCACAGCTCTTATTGACTCCCAGTGATGAATCAGAAACAGACTCTTGGAAAAGAGAAATCAAGTGGCAGCCCAGGAGTTTTGTTTAGTGGTATGTAGTAAGCTTGTTAAGAAACCATGGAGTATTTTCTCAACCAAAAGGAAGACTACAATGTGGTTGGCTAGAAATGAAGACAAAAGTTTACTCCAGAAGGCAGGAGGCAAATTCAGCATTTCACTGCTGCTAAGTTATGTAAGAAGCAAGCTCTTAATCAGAATGTTTCTCTGGAGAACACAGAGCTCAATTGAAAAGGGATTCAGGGCCTGGGATTTAGCTCAGTGTGTTCTCTGCCTGCTGCACAAGCTCAAGGACCCGAGCTCGATCCCTGGTACAAAAAAAAAAAAAGGGATTCAGATGATCTCATTTTAAGTCCTTCAGCTGAGAGGCATGCAGCCTTGCTCCTGGGATGAGGTACTGACACAGTCCAACTGGCCAAGGGTCTTCTCCCCCTACCTGTGAGGAGATTACGCAGACAACCTTCCCAGGCAGCCTGTCTTTGTCTTTCTGCATGTGTTGCAGGTTATATGCTGGTGATAAATCTTATGTGCTTTATAAACTTGAAGATTCTGTAGCTATACCAATACCAAGGACAGTGATGAGGCTCTGGAGCAGGGCTCTTCTCGTTATCTTGATAGGATGTTTAGCAGCATCCCTGGCCTCCACCCACTGGATACCAGCAGCACCCTCTCCCCATCCAGCCCACTCATGGCAATGGGAAATGTCTCCAGGCCTTGCCAAACAACTGCTCTAGGATTTCTCAATGTGCTTGACTGTAAAAGACCCTTTAGTCACTCAATTAAAATGTATGAGATTATGTATTAGAATGGCCACTTCTACTGATTTGCCATGGTCCTTGAATGGCTAAATCTATTTTTTAAAAATCAGCACTCATTGTTTCAAGATTCTAAATTCTCAGTGACAAAGGCTAATATGGTAAAACACTTGATTCAATATCCCGAGGAATAGAAGAAAACAACATACACTATTTACTTTTGAAATACGAATCCTTCTTACAGAAGATGGAAATCCCTCCATTAGCTTTCAGTTCATTTTCTTTTATCTTTTCATGCATTTCAACTTCCATTATCTCTCCTTCACCAGATACCAACCCTACTCAGATGTCCTCTGTCACACACCATCTTGTAGAACTGATATTTAGCCAATCAGCTTCTGCAGTCAATTTTTGGTCCGGTAGCATCTAAAAGCTGTTGGTCTGCCCCTTCTTTATGTTACTTATTACTTGAAAAAAACAATCTGGACATTATTTGAGGAAAAACATTCATAAACTCCTCTTTCCATAATCCTGTACTAGTACTCTACCCGTTGTATTATCTACTCGTGTCTCTTTCTCACTGGAGAGGGAGCCTCTCAAGGGCTCTCTTGCTTATTTATTTTGCATCTATGGGTGTTCTGTGTAGAGGTGAATTGTTAAGTACTGTTTATTTAATTGACTGAAGTGTGTAGAGTTGCAGTTGAAAAGTTCAAGAAGACTACATTGTAATAACAGTAGAGGTGCCAGAGAAGGACAGTTTATGTCATTAAACACCAAATCACACTTTTCTTCCTTTCGTCTACCTCATCTCTCTTGCTTTATCTGATTCACAGGCTTCGGAATTATTGAGCTTTGATTATAGTTACTACAAAAGGTGACTCTAAGCTGAAGGGGGGAATGCTAATTTAAAAGCCAGACTTGATCAGGTAGAAAGAAGTAAGTCACTGTCACATGCAGAATAGGAATAGTGCATAAGGAAATACTAAGCTCTTCTACCGAAAATGAATCAAGTCAATGATCTTTTAGGAAAGAAAGAGGCCATTTTTTTGGTGGGCAAATTCTCTTTGGAAAACATAAATACCAAGTGAGTATTTATAGATTAATATTCCAAAACTCCAAGAGGAAAAATTGCAAACATTAAGCACTTCTCAACCTTTGTCTCAAATTCATTATTTTCAAAGACCTCCTCCAAGGTTTGTAAAAGATTCCTTAAAACCAATGGATAACTAAATAAAGAAGGAGTCACAAGTTCTTCAAAAGAAACTTGGACTCCAAAAGTAAAATTTGTAAAGGAAGTTCAAGGACATTTAGAGTCATAGATTTTTACAGCTGGGAAGAACTTGGTTTCCTCAACTGTGATAGGAGAAGTTAGAATGGATACTCATTGAATTATGTTTTTACTCAAGAGCCTCTGACATTTCAAGCAAATGGAAGTAATATAATTTATTTTTAAAAGAAGAAAGAAAAGAAATTCAAAGCAAACAATGGTCCAACATTCTAAATATCAAAAATACCTTTTCATAAAATTCTATAGGTATACATCTACTGTATGCATTAATAATATGTGAATTTAAACAGCAGTGATGTGAGAAAAGATTGAGAGTGACAGTGGGTAACATGGATGCATCTATGGGGAAGATAATTTTGTAGAAATCTGTAAGAAGGGAGGGAAGTGCTCTGCGGGCTCCCTGTCCACATGCCCATGTTGACGTGCAGATCTATTTACATAGTGTTCTCTCACGATGTCATTGCCCTATGCTCAGGAAGGAATGTTCCTGGCATGGCCTTTTCAACAGTGGAGATGGTTTTGAGCTCATGTATCATCCATATCCTCTTGCCTAGTCCCCGGTGGTCTTTGAGTAGGATTTCTGAGCAGCTAGGATGTAATCTGTGGTCATGGATCACCACTGACCTAAGTTCAAGGGTTCAAAGTCTGGTTTTTGACCTCCATGGTGAGAAGTTTCCAGTGAGTAAGAAGGCTACACAAGTAGGTTCAGCAGGTCTGGCCCCAACCCTTAGGCAGAGCCCTTGGGAGGGTGATCAAATGCACAAGTCTAGTCCTACTCTCAGAAATTCTCAGTTAGAAAGTTGAATATTGAGCCCAGAACTTTGCATTTCTAACTAGCCATCCAAGTGATTCCAAAACAGGTGGTCTTCTTTGAGAATAACAGTCTAGAAGTTCAGCTGATTTTTGTCTTTCTGCCTTGGCTCAGGTCCTTTGAATTAGGCCTTTTACATTTTTTATCTGCTCCTACTTTGATGAAGCCAGTTTTAGAATAATAATTTACTTCTAGCATGCACTTACTGTTATTCAAAATAGTATCGTTTGGCAAAGTGGAAATGGTTTTGAGAAGAGAGAACATAAAAAGCTTTTGAAAAGAAAACCAGATCATAAGATAGCCTATTAAGCAGCAAGAATAGACAACACTTTGAGACTATGGAGAATTTCAGCAAATAGTCTCAGAGAGGAAATGACTAATGGAGATTTTGAGAGCCACGGGAAAGGTGAAAGCATTGTACTCCTGTCAGTAGCTAGATCAAGAATGTTTGTTCCACCAGAAGCCTTGTGACACAGGGTGGGTCAGGGACTGGGAGTTTAATGTTCTCATCACAGAATTTTATTCACTTATGCAGAAATCATTCCAGTTGAATTCTGGTGTCCAAGATCATGAAGAATATCCAAGAAAAAAAAGTTGCCTGGATTTATAGGAAGTCTAAAAAACCTTGGCTTTCCTGTGAGTATTTGGATGTCATGTTAGAACAGCTGAGAGATAGATTTGTATTCCCCATTATTAGATGACCTCGGGGTGGTTAATTATCTAGTATGGGTTGCAGAAGGAAATGGGCTTGGGCAAGCATAAGGGATCTGGTGAACGATTTGGAACGAGCAACATACAGGTGCAGAGGTGTTTACCTATCTTTCTCCATAATGATAATTTGGATGAAAACAGCAAAAAGAACAGACAAAAAAATACAAATAAATTGACAGTTGACCAGTGTACGTCAAGAAGAAAAATGAGTAGCAGCAACGGCAGTGGAAAAATGCTCTGGTGTCTTTTCTCACTGTAGTTGAATTCTAATAGTCGCAATAAGCTATGAGGATCAATACTTAATAATAAAGCATAAGAAAAAATGATGGAGGCAGGCAGTCTGAGTTAGCCCTTTGTAATACCTATCTGGAAAGAGGAAAATTCCTGTTGTCGCGGGAGCCTAGGCCTCCAGTGTCCCTAGACTGCCCTCTGGCGGTCAATTCTGTTCTGCATGCCTATTCTTGCCCTGCTCTCAACTCTGTCTGATAAACCAGTGGTTTTCAAATACTTTTAGCAATGGACTCCATTCTTCAAACAGCATTTTATACAGAAGCCCAGAACACAAGCCATGAGGGAGAGAGAGGGAGAGCGAGAGGGAGAGGGAGAGCGAGAGCGAGAGGGAGAGGGAGAGGGAG